GTTATCAATAAAGCTAAAAGCCGGATTTAGTAAATCTTTGAATCTCTTCACACTGCCCGGCTGTCAGAAGGTCTCTTGCTCAAATGGAACAGCTCTCTTGCAGGAATTCTGCTCCAGATTTCCCTTTCCCACAAGGAGACTGCAGAAAGGCCCTTTTCCAAAGGAGAAGCAAATTCTCCTACATAAAATGGTCTTGTACCAGAGCAGTAAAGCTTGTGAACTCTAAAGTCCTTTCCTCAGTCTCTTGATGTCACTTTACAGATCCCTACAGGCAGAAGCTTGGTCATGAAGGTCACCAGTATCATCTCAAAGAAGGGAATGATTCTAAGTGCTGAGAAAAGGAGTTAGACTCTTTTCTTGATTTCATGTTAGAAATCTCTCCTCTTTTAGTCATCTGGCAGGAACAGCTCAAGAAAAATCTATTGCATTTACAGTTTTCAAGCTGGGATTGCATAGATGTGGCCTGCCTGGTTTTTCTGATGTGGTTTTTGTAAAGCACATTATGCTTATCCACCTTCCTCTCGTCCCAATTACAACCATTTTTCTTCACGCAGGTGCAAACCCGAGGAGCATTTCTGCTGTCAATGGAGATGGGGAGACTGCTCGGACTGGAGGAAACCGAGAAGGCAACCGTGCAGGACCAGCATATGCTTAGGCTGTTGACACTGGTTGTCAAGCTCTACACTGGAAAACAGGTAGTGCACTCTGAGAGAAGGAGAGAATCATTCACAGCAGGCTTGTGCTAATGCAAAGCAACAGATGAAGCCAGGATTTTGCTATTCAATGGCCAGCCAGTCTTGAGACGGTAATAGGTACCGTATTTAAACAGCCCATCCCATCCCTCTTATTCATGTGTACATACAAGCTGTGAACAAGTGCACACCTCCGGGGACCAAATACTCAGGATCCCTCCTCTATTGTTTTCCTGGCTTGCCTGGTGGTTTTTTTGATCAGCCTAGATTGTCTTCCTCGAGTTTTGCACAGCTTTCCAGTTTTATTCCTGTTCATGTAAGAATATGGGGGCCAAAGCTGAAACACTAGCGAAGGCTGGTGCCAAGCTTGTGGCTGCGAAGCCACATGAAATGCTCACCGTGAGATGCCTATGCAGAATGTGGATTGCTTGCTTCAGGAGAGCAGTTCAAGGTGCTGCAGGAGAGAGAGCCCTGTATATGGTTACAGAAACCCTAAAGCTGTTGTCTCCTGTGTGTGCAGGCCTGCTTAGCTGTTGTGATAAAAGTATGTCAGTCTGTCTTTCTCCACCTTCTGAGGTTCTCTGAAGTTGTTCCACTTTGCCAGCATCCTTCTTAGAGTACTGTGTCCTACAACTGGATACAAGATGGGGTATAACCAGTGCTGAATAAAGAGGAATGGGTACTTAATGGGATCTGGAGACTGTATTTCTGGTAATGTAGCTTAAAAGAGCATCTAGCTTGTCACTGGGTGGGACTGAGATCTTTTCCCTTGCATTTTTCTGGCTCTGCGCCTCTTTCCCCGACAGGTGCTTACAATATGGGAAGGGACAACAAATATCCTTTCTTTGGATGTTCTTCGCTCCATTGCCAAAAGTGGAGGAAAAGTGCTGGATGCCTTCTTCTCTACAGCCCGGGTGAGCTCTGTCCAAGCACCAGTTACTCTGCTCCATTATGCTGTACTGTTGCACGTTGTAAATGTGATGAGGGTCCAAATGGGCCCAATGGATCTTTCACGATTTGGGCATTGGAAGTCAGCAGTACTGTCCTATAGAACCATAGTCAATCATGTGATAAGCCAGTAGCATAATGCAGTGGCAATAAAGAATAGAACAATTCTCAGGTTAGAAGTTTTCAAGCAGTAACTGATCTCACTTTGTGGATTTCAGGGAACATGTGTCACAAAAGGGTGACTACTGGATCTTTTGTATCCGAGGAAGAACAACATTAAACAACAAAGAACCTCACAAGACACATTGTTGTTTAGTCATTTAGTCGTGTCCGACTCTTTGTGACCCCATAGACCAGAGCACACCAGGCCCTCCTGTCTTCCACTGCCTCGCGGAGTTGGGTCAAATTCATGGTGGTCGCTTCAATGACACTGTCCAACCATCTCATCCTCTGTCGTCCCCTTCTCCTCCTGCCTTCACACTTTCTTAACACCAGGATCTTTTCCAGGGAGTCTTCTCATGGCCAAAGTCTTGGAGCCTCAGCTTCAGGATCCGTCCTTCCAGTGAGCACTCAGGGTTGATTTCCTTCAGAACAGATAGTTTTGTTCTCCTTGCAGTCCAGGGGACTCTCAAGAGTCTCCTCCAGCACCACAATTCACAAGACACATTAATAAATGCAAAAATAAATATACTTTATTATCTATTGATTACAATAATAAATAAAGGGGTTTCATGCATTCAGCACATTCACACCACATATATAGTCACCAAAGAGAGAAGAATCCTTTATCTGCATTGTCCAAGGTCCAAAGAAAGCAGTTAGTTCCAAAAGCCTTTTGGTCCCAGCAGACAGACAGACTAATGTTTGCCCAGATCCCTCTTCTTATATTCCTTTGTGAGGCAGTTTTTAGGCAGGGCATGCATAGTAGACATTTCTTTGTCTCAGGTTGCTCGCTGGGCATGCGTGGTAGAGATTTCTTTAGATATATGGTCCTTATCACTTATTGTGACGTATGGAAGGTTTAATATTTCTTCCATCACTTAGTGGAGAAGAACAGGAAGAATATAAATGAAAGAAGAGGATTATAGCAAGAGGTCTCGTCTACGGTGGTGGGTGTGAGCACACAGCCTCCTAAGAGAATTCTGTGAGCTGGAACAGAGAGGTTCCTGAGTCCAGTGTACCCCTATTTTGGCTGAGATGAGTCCTTTTCTCAACCAGACCGTCCCAGTGGCTCCCTTTTCCCAAGTCTCTTCACAATTAATAATTAACTGAGAAAACCAAAGATAAAATCATGAGTCTTAGAGTCTGCTAAGGCTCTCAAAACTCGGGCAAATAGTGGACTCAAAGTAGCTTAATTGTGGCCTAAAAAGAAAAACCAACTAGGCAGGTTATCTGCTCAAAAGACCAAACATAAGGTTTAAGAATTATTGTTTTATTAGAAAAATAAAGAATTTAGAGATATTCGGTTTGTTGCAAAGCATAGCATTCAAATACATTTCCATAAACTAAGGCGGATAGAACTTTAGCAAATTCCAGCTTCAAAAATAAAATAAGAAAACCCTAATTAAAAGCTAGAAAGGTGGGTAAGGCTGAGTCCCCCTTTCTCTATTCTTTGCTACGAACTGCATCCTAGCAATTTTCTAAAAAATAGCCATGGGAACTCCAAAGTCCATTCAAAAATCCAAAAGTCAAAAAAGGTTCTCTCTCTGTCAGCATCTCTCCATTTTTCTCTCATGCTGGAAACACCCTCCTTCTTCACTGTTCAGTGATGTAGGCCAATCAGGACGAAGCACTGCTCCTCCACTCTCCACCTCCTTTTCTCATGGGGTGTGCAGGTGTTGTTGACATTCTTCTTGTTCTTATGTCTCAGCCCTTATCGGCCTTGATCAAGCTATCTACATGAGAAAATCCCAACTAGCTGCAAGAGAAAACAGCTTCTCGAAGCATCTAGTTAAGCTTACACAGACCACATTGGACTCTTTCTATACAATTCCATGACTACAAATCCCATTTAGAAATTACATTTTAGCTTCAATAACCTGAACCATGACAGTGAGGAACACAGTTATATTGTATTTTGATTTGTGTATTTTATGTTTATGTTTATGTTTTAGATAAATAACAATTTTTTAAAAAAACAGTAGTAGCTGATGCCACTTTGTAGGTTTCAGGGAACACACTCAGTTTGTCTTACAGTTGGTTTCTTCGCAGGCCAAGTTGGAGGTCGCTCTCGGTGCCCCTGAACTAGAAGTTTCTGTGCAAATTGTGCAGAAAGCGCTCCACAAACTCAGACTCTTCACTCGGGAGATGGGATTAAAGGGGGAAGAAGGGATGCAGTTGTCAGCAAGAGACTTTGCCTACACCCTTGCACGGATCTATGGAGGTAATGAAATAGCTCTTATAGCGTTCCTTTGTTAACTTATTAATACAAAAGAAAGCAGAACTAATTACAATGAGTTGCCAAGAAGCTTATGATCTTCAGGTGTTGCACAATGACTTTTTGATTAAAACCTGCCCTAGAAGTCTTTTCTTCAATTATATGGAATTTTGCTCTCAGTGCAAATGAAGTCCTGGTCCACAATTACTACTCAGCTAGAGCAGTGCATGAGCAGGGAGTGGACCATTCTCCCATGCTGTGTCAGGTCTCATCGTGGCCTGTCATGATGATGGGATATGTGGTTGGAAGCGTGTCATGATGATGGGATATGTGGTCAGAGAAACATAATATAGAGTTAGAATAGTTCTGTGTAGAGAGGATTTGAAGGACTTTAGTCCTCTTTTGACTAGGCTACCTAGTCTTGTCTCATCGTGGCCATCCTTAGCATATGGACAAGGCCAGAGCTTTCTTCTTAGGCAGGAGGTGGCATCCAGGAGACTCGTTCAAGATCAGATGACATGTCGAAGCTTTCATGTGTCCACATGCAAATGGCACCTTGCTGCAGCTGATGGTGCAGCTGCAGATGAAAGACAGGGCTAGCCGGCCTGCTCCTGCCCTTGCTTTGAGTTTAGGGTGAGGAATAACTTCCGAATAAGACTTCGGCATTATAGGAACTCTTAGTACAACTAACCCCTGAGTAAGAATGATTTTCTCTGGCTTAGAAGAATTACACAAGGAGAGAGCAGAGAGATGTGAATTCTTCCAGCAACCCTGCTATGCAGAGTGGAGAAGGACTGTCTATGACAAGAAATGTCAACCATATTCATTATTACTCTTAAAGGTGGCAATTACACATTTCATCTGCCTTCCACATGATGTGAATGCCACAACGTATGGTCCCCAGAGGACTGGAAATGGACTGTTCGTAAACATAGGGAGCCCACCAAGTACAACAGGCTTCCTCCCATAGACCTTGGGCACCTCAGGTGTGGAGGGTGGGAGGACCGTAGCTTTAGGGCAGAGCACCTGATCTGCAGACAGAGAGGACCAAGTTCAATTCCCGGCCATCTCCAAGCAAGGCAAGAGAAGATGCTTCTTGGAAACCTGCAGAACCGCTGCCTGTCACAGTCAACTGGTAACAAGGGTGATCATTCAGAGGTGTTAAAGGCTAATGTATTTGTCTTGTAGGAGTTCTCTTACTGGAACATGCTGCCAGGCCCAGTGCATCTGCTACAGACATCTTTACTGCACAGAGGTATTAAAGAAGCCATAGCTGCACTCCACAAAGGGCTGCTTGAGCTGTCAGAGGCTACGCGAACACACTTCTGTTGCTCCAAGGGCAGTCCTGAGATGCTGGAAGGCAGGACAGCTCTGTGAGGGAGGGGAAGAGGAGAGCTTGCCTGGGACAAATGTCACATAAGATCCAGAGAAAGGGCCATTTTGGTGCTCCAGGGAGACAAGGGCCAGGGGTGGTGGCAGGAGAACTGGAGACCACCACCTCGTAAAAGAGGAGAGCTGTGTGCTTGTTCAAGGAAAGATGAGGCAGGCAGACACAGCGATGGCTGAAACTCACCTGGTAGTTTGAGGTTACCAGCCCAGTTTTTGGGACTGGGTCACCCAGTACTACCTATTTTTCTAAAAAGATTTTGCACATTTGTGGTCTCTAGATTCCAGAACCTGTGACCAGGCACATGCCCTCTGATCTCTGATCAGTTCACAAGAAATGTTCATTTTGACATTGTTCGGAGTGAGAGGAATTCAGACATGGTGCAACACTTTAATCTGAATCTGAAAGTTTCAGCATAAATGAGACACACTTTTCCTGAACCTTCCACAGGTGGTGTCAACAAGACCTGTGCCTTGTGGACAGAGAAGACAAGGCCGGCTCTTACAGCACTGCAGCCGTTTCACTGGATCACACTTTGGTTTTTGGTGGATACCCATTTGTGAGAGGAAAACTGTAAGGAAGCATCAAGAAGACAAAGGAAGGGCCATGCGCTCGGTTGCACAAACAAATAGAACATGCACACTTCTGATTCTTTTCTGCAGAATATTAACTGATTGCTTATTATAAGAATTTAATCATGTGACGGCAAGTCAATTCTGCCTTATGGCGACTCTTTCCAGGGTTTTCCAGGTAGGGAACCAAGAGAAGTGATCCTCGGACTGTGCACCTGTGGAGGACATTTCTTCTTGTGTGGACTTTTGCTATATATGAAATTCGTGGGCTATCTTTATATAATTGCTAGAGCCCCATACTGTATACATGGTTATATTTCAAAGTTGCAATGAGGGAGGTGTCCACACAGTTTGCCCAAGGCCAGACAGGTTCCTTCAGTGACAGGAGAGCCAGCTTGGCATTAAACTCCCAACCCCTGGCTCTGAAGCCAGGTACCAAAACCACAGAGCTATCTGTCAGGATCTGGCCCACACCTCTCTGGAAGCTGCAGGATCGGGGCCAACCTGAGCCAGGAGTGGCCTGGTGTTTGCAGGATCAGGCCTTGGCCTGTGTAGCAGCTGCTGGGCCATTCAGGAGGCTCACCTGGAAGCCTGGAGGGAAGGCCTATTCAAGGAGAGGTTCTCCCTCCCAGAACTTGCCTCAGCAACAAAGGTCTCTCGCCATGGTGTGCTGTTATTCCTACCTTGCCTCTCCTTGAGTCTTTGGACCCTGCAGCCTCGATACTGTTCTTCCTAGCTTTAACTCCTGGACTGTCTGACCACGATTCACATCTTCTTGGACATAGGCCAAGGACACATGGGCACACAATCTGCATATCTATAGGGAACCAATAGATCAGCGTAGTTGGCATCACTGCCCAATGAGGGACTGGATCCAAATGTGGGGTACAATTGACCAATAGAATTGTAGCATTTTATGACTCTTTGTTTATATCGTTATAAAATATGTGTACACTGTATTTTTGGGATCGTCTTTGCTTTTAAGAGAAGTCCCACCTGACCTTTTATTTGCTGCTATTCAAATACAAATTGGGCCTTTGGTTCGGCTGTTGCATCTATGCCTGATTCCTTGCCAGAGAATATTAGATTATATCATTTTGGCTGATAACACCACTCTCCCAGTTGGTTTATATGGCCAAGTGGGGGGCTTGAACTCCATCCTCCAGAGTCCTCATTCATCACTCTGTCCATTTCACCATATTGGGAACCCAGCTGCCATTGCAAAGGGGGAAATGACACTTACACCTTATGCTTTGCAGAATAGATGTCAAAGCAGTACCAAGGGGTTATTAGCACCTGCCGCTTATTTCTTGCTAGGTAGGGCTTCAAAGCCAAGTCTGGTTCCACCTTTGAGACATGCAAGAGAATTACAGCTATGTGAAAGGAAGTGGGGAAGAAGATCTGGTGTTTTGGTATTCACTCAAAGAGAATATAGATGATCAGATAGGTCTGGAACGCGAAGATTAGAAGTCTGCTTCAATAGATTGACCTGTCTTTGAGGAGAAGGATTACACTAAACCACTCTAACGATCTGGGAAGTTAAAGACATGCAGACTCAAACCCAAACAATGGCAGCCCCAAAGTTTTCACTACAAGCCAAGGACTCTGCTAAGAGCTGAATGGACTACAAATTGCATTTCTTGCTGAAATGCTATCAAAAACATGGCTACAATTCCAAAAATGTCCATCAAGTCATTTTAGTAGTCCTCTGATTTATGGATTAGTCTGCCCTCTGGTAGTTTTGATTGCAGATGCCCCGAGGACTTGCACTCCAAGAAGTTTCACGACAAGTCCTGGAGCGTGTTCTTCTTAGACAAAAATGTACGATGCCAGTTTATAGAGGTTTGTAACGAACTGACATCCACTTCCGCTGTCTTGTTTGTTGTCAAGAAGAATTCTAAGAAATCACCAAGCACGCGGCAATCAGAATTAATAGTATGTAAAAAAGATGAGCTGAATAAAAGAAGTGCACTCTTGAGTAAGATATTGACAACTACAGATTTAAAGGATATATGGAGAGAATTGAAGGGGGATGAAAGAAGGTTTATGTATTATTCCTCTGTACATAATAGTTATTCAAGAATACATTTTATGTTTATATCTCAAAATTTAATTTCTAAAGTAGTAGATACTGTCAGGACCAGCCTGTCACTAGGGAGCGCTGCTCCTTCAGCTAGAAAGCCTCCCAGTATTCATGTACCTCTTTTCAGCTGGGTCAAGCCCCAATCTAACACCAGCCAGAGCATAACACAAATCTTTTCCAGCAAGTCTGGCCTAAAAGGAACACCCCTGCACTTACTTGTAACCAGCAAGTACAGACACCTGGGCTTTGTAGTCCCCAAGACTCACTAAAGCTCAGAGAGGTAGGACTCTGTCTAGTAGCAATATTGTTTCCTTGCTACCTCCTGGAAGCAGGCTCAGCAGACTTGCTGTTCAAGAGCCCAATCTCAAGATTTTTAAGATTAAATTTTTTATTGAAAAAATAAAGTTTCATAGAAAATTCAGTTCGATGCATAAGCATAGCATAGAGTACATTTCCAAAGATTATTGCAGTTAACGTGAATAACAAGTTCCACTAAGTAAAAAAATAATTAAAGTATCTTAAAGCTTTCTTCCGGATAGGCAAAGGGAGTGGCACCCCTTCTTCTTTTCCTGTTCCTACATTCTCAAGCTTTTATCCTAACACAAGGAAAAAAGGGAATTAAGGCCTCTTTAGACAAAAGGGGCTTCTTCACATGGCACAATATCCATTTTCTACTTCCAAAACTCCACCCTTCTTCTCCATCCTCCAAGGTGTTAACCAATTACAAATTAGGGCTGTAAAGTCTCTCTCCATCCCTCTTCCTCCTGAGAATGCAGGTGTTGTTTTCTTTCTTCCAATTAAGCTGGAATGTTGAGTCTGGTCTTCTTATCTCATCCTTGCTGTACCTGGCAGTATAAAACATTCCTACAGCTTCTCCCGGCTTCTTCAGAAAAACATTCTCAGAGCTTAAAATCAACCTTACACAGAACCATTTTGACTCCATGTTATATTTCTCATGACTACATAAACCATTCAAATTACAGGCTTTAAACCACATAACTCATGATCATGACAGAGACAAATATTAATGTGATAAAAATAACGGATCATGTGTTGATGATGGAAATGAAAGTTAAGAAAGACTACAGAGAAGCTAGAAGATGGAGAATAGATTCCACTATTTTTCAGTATACAGATGTAATGGATAGAGTTAAGAAAGAATGGATGGAAAGATGGTCAATAAAAGCAAGTGGGAGTAACATAGGGCATCATGGCACAGTGGCTAACTGCTGTACTGCAGCCAAAACTGTGCTCACAATCAATCCCAGGTAGTCGGCTCAAGGTTGACTCAGCCTTCTATCCTTCCAAGGTCAGTAAAAAGAGTACCCAGCTTGCTGGGGGGGGCAATGTGTAGCCTGCATAATTAACTTGTAAACCGCCCAGAGAGTGCTTGAAGCACTAGGGGGCGGTATATAAACAGCATACTTTGCTAAGAGTGTAATGGGACACTATGAAAGTAATTTTGAGAGGAATTATCATAAGAGAATCAGGTAGAATTTTAAAAACTGAGAGAAGAAAATATAAAAAATAAAAGAATCATTAAAAGATATAGAAAGTAAATATTTTACACATAGAGATCCGGATCATTAAAAAATTCCTTGTACTTAAATTCAAGGCTGGTATCATCAGGGCCAAGACGTGCATTAAAATCTCCTAGAAGTATCACCTTTGCTTTTGGGTGATCTACTAATAGGTTTGCTACATATATCTCTAGAGAATTCCAGGCTTC